CTTCCACCAAGCTCCTAACACCATTTCAACCTCCTCTAAAGCAAATCTGAGATAGCTGCCTAATAGCACTTCATCCATATTCAAAACACTCAGAAATCCATTCAGTCACTATTGAAAGAAAGAGAAGCACAAGGCTGGAAGTGCAGCACTGCTCCTGAGCATGTCCAGGCACCTGAAGTTAACATCAGTAAGTTAGGCTACTCTTCCATCAGTGTCAGAATAGATCATGTCTGAAGAACAGGAGTGTGAAAGTTGAAATAAAAGCCCCCAGCCAAAGCATGGACCAGAGCTTCCCAAATACAGTACACTACATGCTCTATGTGTACAGTCCTGCAGTGTTTGGCATCAGGATTCCTTTTGGATTCACACTGCCAAAACAGTATCTACAAAAACAGAAACTTTTTAAAATCAAGGAAAAATGAAAATGCAAGATTTCAAATAAGGAAAAAAAAAAAAACAAAAAAAAACAATAATTAACTCCTACTATAGGAAACAAAGACAATGTGATAAGAAATATTACAGGCCCAGTATTTACCATAAAACAGCCACAACTCCAGTAGTATTTCAAACCAAACAGAAAACAAGGAAAAACTTTAAAAAACCACATGCTCCATTCCACATTATATCAACCATTCTCAAAATACTTAACAACAGTATACCTATGTATACTGTATAACAGTATACTTAGCAGTAGCAAAAAAAAATAATAAATAGTTTTCTCTGCTTAAGATGAATCTCAATACGGTCTCTAAAGAATAATTCTCCAACTATCTACTTCTAGGAACAATACTGTAGTCATGGGAAACACAGCTAAAGTATTCAACACAAAGCCACAGCAGAACTGTAGGACCTCCTTCCTGTGCAGCAAACCATTAGGAATATTAAGAAACGTGGATAATAGGCACAGAATTCAAGTTTTGCATCTTCAGCCACAGGGCTGCCTATCATAGGAAGAAGGACTTCTCTTCCATTAATCTAGGTTAAAGAAGGGCAAATCTGATGGCTGAGATCTGCACTTAACTTGAAATTCAAATACTAAATTATTCTTCTGAATTGGCACCTTCTGCAGATCTGGAATAAACTGTGTTTCCTATATGATAAAGCAAGAAAAAAAAAAATCCATAATGTTCACCACACAAGTACTACGTAGGGCAAGCCTCAGGTCTTGAGAAAGACTGAAGTTCTCCCAGCATGGGAAACATTTCATTGTTTTAAATGCAAAAAAAACTAGAACTAAACAGGTCAGAGACTCCTCCACGCTCATCTGCAGGAAAACTTGATTTCAACAAGCTGGGGAGGGAGGAGGAGAACATCTGGCAAGTTTATCTTCCAAAGAAGATGAAACGAAGAAGTGCTCACAAAGATAGCCAGACAAAAGAATTTCCAGGGAACTCAGAGTTAGAAAGAGCTCCATTCAAGGGAGCTGTGCAAAGCTGTTCATATAACCTATCCTGCCAGTTTTACAATCTCCAGAGAACATCAATAAAACAACACAGTCAGCGAAAGAGTTACGATGCAGTAAAAGCAAGCTGAGCAAGCGATGAGATCTCAGGCATCAGATCGTATCACCTTTAATCTGTCTTAAGTCACTGCTCACTCTTCAGAGTATTGAGAAGTCATGGGGGATAAGAGCTGCAGGTAACTTGTGAAACAGATTGGAAGGGTCCCTGGATGGACTGAGAACCCTGAGAGATGGCAAAAGTTGAAGAGCACAACTTCCATGTTAGAGTAGCACAGGGAAAACCTTTGTACAATTTTTGGACGATATGAGCCTTAAGTAGTTGAAAGGAGCTATTTCACAGGAACACAGAATGGCCAGGGTTGGAAGGGACCTCAAAGATCATGAATCTCCAACCCCTCTGCCACAGACAGTGCCACCACCCTCCCCATTTAATACCAGACCAGGCTGCCCAGGGCTCCATACAGCCTGACCTTGAACACCTGCAGGGATGGGGCATCCACAGCCTCTCTGGGCAGCTGTTCCAGCGCCTCACCACTCTCTCTGTAAAGAACTTCCCCTGACATCCAACCTCAGTCTTCCCTCCCTCAACTTAAAACCATTTCCCCTTGTCCTGCAGTTATCAACCCTTTCAAAGAGTTGATCCCCTCCTGTTTGTAGGCTCCCTGTAGGTACTGAAAGGCTGCAATGAGGTCACCCCGCAGCCTTCTTTTCTCCAGGCAGAACAAGCCCAGCTCCCTCAGCCTGTCTTCATAGGGGAGGTGCTGCAGCCCCCAGTCATCTTTGTGGCTCTCCTCTGGACCCTCTCCAACAGCTGTCTTTGTCTATTTCAAAAGCTTTCATCCCAACTCTCACTTTAATGAACATAACCTGTTTATGGAAGCCGTATGAAAAACAGCACAAGTCCAAGCCAAGTCTCTGAGAAGCAAGCAGGACACAAGGGTCTACAAGCCAGCAGACTGTATCAGGGACAGAAAGAAACAAAATAAATAAAATGTTAAGATACAGCAGACCACCAACATTGAAATCAAGTTATTTCTTGTATTTCCTCGCACCTTCTGCTCAACAGTTTTGAAGTACACAAATGTAACACAAAGTGTCTTTGAATCTGGCCGTTTGTAAAGGGGACAAGTCACTCAGCTTCCCTCTTACCAAGGTCATACAAGGCTGCTGCAAACCTGCAAACAGAGCACAGCTTTTCTGAGAGCTGCTCCTGGGCTTCTACTTAACATGAAACAAAGATAAGATCATCCGTATCTGTATTCTTTCTTATCCTTCCACATGTCCAAGTACCGGTACTAACCACAACTGAAATTACAAGTAAACATTACTATTAGTACTAGTTATTAACATAATATCAATATTCCGCTATACAAGCATTTCTCAAGTACTATTAAACAGCACATCACCCTGCTGTGATCACTATCACTAGAGGGACACCAGCAACAAACATAAAACATACCAAAAAACGGTGCCTGATTAGGAAAACATAGCATAGAAGCACATGGAAGAAAAAATAAAACAACACATCTACCCCTACAATCCCAAAAGTATAACAAAACAAAAACAGAAAGACCAGGTTACAGTGACCAACAAGATTTTGTTGTTGGGGTTCTCCTTGGCTTACCCTATACTTTGGTGGTAAACCTGCACTTCTAATCTTGAACAGTGAAGCCCTTTTGCAAGCTCAGGAGCTTTCCTGAGGACTAGTCAAAACAACAGAAGTGGAACAGATCAAGGTTCTGAATTTCAGTGCCTTTTTTTTGTTGTTGTTGTTGCTGTTTTATTATTATAAACACTTTTTAAAATCAATATGCTGATAAAATCGTAGCCAGAACAAAAGAGAACAGAGCATTCCTATTCCTCCCTCCCTCTTCCAAGTTACCAAGACTGTTTAGGTTATAAACAAAAAGCATGCCCATTTTCCAGACTATACATCAAAATCAGTTCACACCAGTTAATCCAGTTTCTCCATGTAACACTCCTGGAGTCCCAAAACATCATTAATGCTGCAAAATGATTTAGCCTACCTTGCTTTACAGTTACCTAGCATAGAGTTAAAAATAAATTCTTTAAGCAAGTTATTTCAAACCACCACAGAGAGATCAAACTCAAGTATAAATAGTGAGTCACTCAGATAAAAATGCAAGCCCAGATTCCATCACAGATCACAATATATCCGAGACAATTCCTAAAAGGGCCTGGTAAATATTTAAAAAACAAGCAAACAAAAAAAGGTTTCCAAAGGCTTAGCTGATGCTGTTCTCTGTGAAGAGCCCCATTTTCAATGGAAAGTGCTGCTCTAGGCCTGCACATCCTCCCCCTCCCTCTGCTTCACTCACAGCTCCAGTTTCTCTCCTTGAAAAAAAAAAAAAAAAAAAAAAGCCACTCACACACCAGGACAGCCCCTCCATTTCAGCAGCAACTGAGGGCACTGCCTTGATATGCTGCTTTATTGTAAGTCTCTATCCCTCACTTAAACTGAGCCAACTAGGGCTTGGCCATGCTTGGCCCTTGTCAGCTTCCACACGTAGCTCAACACAAAGCCACAACTTTCACAAAGCTCCTCCCAACACGACTGAGAGGACCGTGAGCACTCAGCCTTCGCACACCTGCACAAGGCTGCAAGCCACAGCACCTGAGCGACCCTCAGGTGGCACCAAGTAGCACTGTGGGCAACGCAGCACGCCCTGCTGCATCCACTGCATCTCAGAGTTCAGATCCAGCGTGACTTCAAGGCGCACCAGATCCCTCTCTACACCCAGCTCCTTCCAGAAGGGTTTCTCCCAGTTCACTATCCCGCTGTCATTTCCTTCAGCAACAACAGCAAACAACTTTATTATTATTGTTATTATTATCACTAGACACACCACGATCAAGCTCTCAAGCTCCGTGGCAAAGCCCTGCCGGGGCTGCCCAGGCTGACAGAGGCCTGGTAACACGGAGCCCCGTCCCCATATGACGGGCCGGTCCCTGACCCGGTGCAACCCCATCCACGTAAAGGCGCGGAAGCGCAGCCCGGTACGGGGCTCAGACAGGAGACGTCCAGCCCTGCCCCCCACATACAGCTGAGGACGCAGCCGCCCCCCACCCTAAGCTCGGGTCGGGCCGGCCCCGAGGAAGGCGGGAAGCAGCGTACCTCAGGGCCGGACCGCCGCCTCCCCGCGGCCCGGTACCGGGGGGCAGGCCGCAGCTCCGGGAGCGGCAGGGCGGCGCGGAGCGGAGGGCGCCGGCAAAAGTAGGGCAGAGCCGACCGGGCCTCGTCTCCCCCCCGCCGGCAGCGTTGACGGACGGACGGACGGACCCGGCCGCCTCCGGACAAAAGCGGCCGTTGGGCCTCGGCGCCGCGAGGGCGAAGAGAGGTGAGAGAGGAAGGGGGGGCAGGAAGGGGGGGACGCGCGACGGCCGCCCCAGAATGCCGAGGGTTAAGGGGGGGGAGGGCGGCGGGCCCACAATCCCCCACGCGAAGCGGGGGGCCGAGGGGAAACGGGGGAGGGCAGCGCGGCACCCCGCGCCCCACGGCGCTGCCCCCGCTCCGTACCTGCCCAATGCGCTCACAAAGCAGCGGCGGCGGCGGCGCCCACCCGCGTCACGTGACCGCCCCTCGCGCCGCTCCCTCCTCCTCGCCTCCACGCGCGCGCGAGGCCGCTCCCCCGCCACGTGACGTGGCGCGACGCCGCACGCGCGCTCGCCCGCCCGCCGGCTCCTCGCTCCCTCCCCGCCCCCTCTCTCCTCGCGCAGTGGCCGCGCCTCGCTCCTCACGCACCACCAGCGCGCGCCCATCCGCCGTCCCTTCCGCCTACCCCCGGCAACACGTGAGCAGGGCGAGGGAGCCCGGCCCTTTCCCCTTCACGTGACCGGGGCTCCGCCTCCCCGCTCGCCGGAAGCGGGCGACCGGGCCCGCCCACCGGAGCTGAGGGGCGGGCGGGGCGGGGCGCTCAGGTGGGCGGTGTGTTTAAAGTACTTGCGGTTTTGTTGAACCTGGCTTCCTCTCCTCCAGACTAAGCAGTCTCGGATCCTTAAGCCGCCCCCCACACGATTCGTGCTCCAGCCTCTCCGCAGCTTCACGCCTGCTCTGGACGCCGTGCTCTGCTCCACGGCCCCAACGGCCTTTTTGAAGCAGGTGGCCCAAAACTGAACGAATGCCCATGTGGGTCTCTGGGCTCTGTCCATTACCATCAGTGCTTCACGCCCAGACTGTGCTTTGGGTTTCCCAGAGCTGCCCTGTTCCTCCTCCACTCGATGTACTGGAGACATCGTCACAGACGTGTCAGGTATCCTAGACGGAATCCAAAGACTCATTTGCATCTGTCAGTGTACTTGCTGAGAGCACTGCCTGAACAGTCTTCGGGTGGGAAAATTCTGCACTTACCTTAATACTTGTGGGTGGTGCGGTGGTGGAAGAGGCTGCCCGTTCCTGCAGACACTCCAGGTCAGGCTTTAGGGCTCTGAGCATCTGATGGAGCTGTGGGTGTCCCTGCTCACGGCAGGGGAGTTGGAACAGATGACCTTTAAAGATTCCTTCCAACTCAATTGTTTCCCTATGTTTCTATGATCAATTTTGTAATCATTAGGCGCTTTCACCAGGCTGAACACAGGGAGGCACCCCACTGATGTGGAGGAATCCCAGAAGGCAACATGCCAAGTGATGCTGCAGTGCCAGCAGGAAAGGGAAGAGGATGCCACAGACTGATGGAGAGCAGCGGGGCTGACACAGCAGGGGGTGGCAGCACTTGGTGCAGTTCTGGCTGTGCCCCTCTGCCCCTGGCAGATTCCGTGGTGACAGGACAGGGTTGGTAAAGACAACCGGCGAGTGTTTGTTTAGCTGCTGGTAGATCCGATGATACATCTCATGATTTTGACATTTTCAGTGGTCTTGTTTCCTTTGCTTGTTTGCTCACCCTTTGTCCTTTGGCCTCCTTGTAAATAGAGAGCACATCAAATCACATTTTCCTATAAGCAATATTTGAACAATAGTCGATGCTGTTTGTGCTTCTGCCCTTCCAGCTTAGAGCAGAAAGGCAAAAGTGGCTTGCATCCTTGATTTCCATTGTATAGGTGAGTAGGAGCTGTAACAGTTCCTACAGCTTGGAAGATGCAAGACATCCCATTTCCACCTTTTCCCAATAAGATACAAGTTCTTTAGAAAAATCAAAATTCAGATCAAACAGTGCACAGATAGTTTTGATTTCTGGAGGCAGCTGTTGATATTTTATCTTATTACTTTTGGGGGAGAGAATAGGCTATAGCTCTAAACAAGGTTTTGCAGGCTTTCTGACAAACATATCCACAGCTCCATAATCTGTGTAGATTTAATCAGTATTATTAGCATCCTTTCATCATGACTTGGCAATCCTTTGCTAATCAGTATGGATATTTGACGTGTAGCATGCAACGACAAAGGCTCAGAACTCTTGGGATTCTCTTGTCAAATGATACAGTGCCAGCTGGAAGGTGTCGCCAAATATCACACAGAATCCAGCTTAGGAACACTTGGAATGAGAGACAATTAAACAAGGATACCAGGGAGAAAAATAAATAAATAAATAAATTAAAATCCACCAACTTTGTGGATTTCTCTCTGCTATACATGGAATAATTACAAAAGAGAAAATAGCACATTTCAGCTCAAAAGCTTCCAGAGAACTGAAGTAATGAAATGATGCAGGCTGCAGTCAGAGACCTTTGCTGTAGCTGTTCAGCACATCTGGAATGGAGAACCTACATTAAGCACAACAAAGGCTTGACTAGGCTTGGCAGGCAAATCCTCCCTACTTAGATATTTAATTCACTACCTTCTGCTCATGTCAGCACTTTATCTGACATTTCTGTGACCTTTCCAGTTTTCCCCGTTACTAGAGAATAATCCATTGAAGGTGCAAATCCCTCCAGACCATATGTTTAAGCTCACTTCAGGGTTGTTTTTCTTAGTCACCTACTGCAGATGCCTTACATAGTTGGCTGAAAACCATCATTTTAGTGTGTTGGTGTTGGCCAGTAACACTTAAGGGGGATAAATGCTAAAATTAAGAATATCACCCTGTTCCTGATTCAGAAGTCTGCTCTACTTCTGCATTACAGGCAATAATCATAGCATGGCTTGAGTTGGAAAGGACCTTAAAGATCACCTAATTCCTGCCGTTGGCTGGTTGTCCCACTAGACCAGGCTGCCCAGGGCTCCACTCAACCTGGCCTTGAATGCCTTCGGAGATGGGCATGCACAACTCCTCTGGGCAGCCTGTGCCGGGGCCTTAACACTCTGAGATCTCCCTGGAGCCTTCTCATCTCTAGAATAAACAAGCTCAACTTCCTCAAATTTTCTTCATAGGAGAGGTGTACCAGCCCTCTTAGCATCCTCATGGCCCTCCTCTGGACCTACTCCACAGCTTTGCCAGGCATAGATTCAGTTCTCCAGATGGGGTCTCAGAAGGACAAAGTAGAGAGAGACAATCCCCACTGGCCACCCATCTGTTGATGCAGCCAAGGAGACTGGCTGCAAGCATGCACTGCTGGCTTGTGTCCAGCTTTTCATCTTCAGGATGAAATGATGAATTCACCAGTACCCTCAAGTCCTTCTCTGCAGGGCTGTACTCAATGAGTTCTTCTCCCAGTCTATATTAATGTCTGGAATTGCCCTAGCCCAAGTGCAGCACCTCAGTAGGTTCACAGAGGCCCACTTTCAAGCTTTTCCAGATCTCTCTGGATAGCATCCCTTTCTTCTGTCATGTCAACCGCACCATTCAGCTTGGAGTAATCAGCAAACTTGCTAAGGGCGCATTCAATCCCAGTATCTAGGTCATTGATAAAGATGTTGAAGAGTACAGATCTGGAGATGGAACTCTGAGGGATGCCACTTGTCACCAGTCTCCACCTGGACATAGAACTGTTGACTGCAACCCTCTGGCTAATCCTTATCCACAGTCAGCTCTTCAAATCCACATATTTTTCAGTGCTGCCTGTAGCCCTTGGTCCAGGTGTTCTCACCTTGACATCTGACTACGAAAGAAGATGATGTGTTTAGATGGTGTGTTTTCACGAGACTAAATTCTGGAATTGCTCTGTACTGCATTATCCCCCTTGTTATTTTATTTTCCTCCTTTATTTTTTTTCACAGTTTAGAGGTAAGGGTACGGTGTGGGACTGTGCCAGATGCTTTGCTCAAGTCCAGGTAGATGACATCAGTTGCCCTTCCTTTGTCTTCTGGTGCTGCCATTCCATCACAGATGGCCATCAGATTGATCATGCATGATCTGCCACAGGTGAAGCCGTGCTGGCTGTGCTGAATCAGCTGCTCATCTCAGACGTGCATTGACATGTCTTCTGGGAGAATTAGATCCATGATCTTATCAGGCACAGAGGTGAAGCTCATCACCCTGTAGCTCCCCAGGTCTTCCATTCCAAGCGATGTTTCCCTTTTTCCCCGGGCACTTCCCCTGGCAGCCACAACTTTTCAGATATGGTGGAGAGTGGCTTGGCAACCACGCCAGCAGGCTCCATCAGAACCCTGGGATGCATGTCATCTGGCTCCATAGACTTGTACATATTAGTGAAAAGCACCTATTATTCACAGCCTCAGGCTGCAGGAGGTCCTCCCTTCTAATAAAATCACTGCTCTTCTCTGGAAAAGGCTTGTAAGGCCTTAATCCATGACACCTGCAGCAGTTGCACTCTGTTGTCAGAAGGCACTCCAGTAACCTCAGAGAGCCATTGTGATTCCGTTGTACTCAGATTCTGTAAGAGAAATGGTTTCATGTACAGGAACCAAGTTTGACTTTCAGATTTCAGGTGAGTTTGTAGAGAAATAGGAATTCTCTCCCATTAGGGTGGAACTACTGAAAGTCTTGAATTCAAAGTGAAAGAGTGTCAAGAGATGATGCCCTTGAGTGCACAAGGGATTGCTGCTGCATTTGTATTTGAAGTGAGCCTCCAAAGATAATGTCAGGAAATGGAGGTAGCGTGTTTGATTGTGTTAACGTGCATGCCAAAGCAGGGCTTCAACAACATTTGTTCTGCAAAGGTAACTGAGCTTTCAGTGCCCTTCTAGTATATATTCCATTCACTGATTCATGGCATTAAAGGCAGAAAGGGTGATGATATAATTGTCTGCTTCTCATATAGATCAGGTCATTAAAATTCCTGACATTCATGGGCTGCATTAGTCTGTCACATCTCAGCATCACCCTGCAAATTGATGCTGGGCTGCCTGATCATCCCTTCAGCATCACTTCATACCCAGACATAGACCCTCTTCTGTAGGTGCTGCCTGTAGCCCTTGGTCCAGGTGTTCTCACCTTGACATCTGACTACAAAAGCAGGTAATGTGTTTAGATGATGTGTTTTCACAAGACTAAATTCTGGAATTGCTCTGTACTGCATTATCCCCCTTGTTATTTTATTTTCCTCCTTTTTTTTTTTTTTTTCTTCACAAAATATTTGCAGTGACTTTGTGTTTACTTCCAGATAACTGAGGAGACTTTAACAAACCTGGGTCTGATGAAGATCCTGCAGAGCGCTCATTTTGTGGAAGATGTTGGCAGTTATTCTGTGCAGTGCACGCTCTGCTGACGGTGAGTGCTGAGTTCATTCTGTCATACTCCCCAGTTTAATTCTGTGACATGCACACTGTTACCTTTATCAGCCAAAGAATCTCTGAGAATTAAGCAGGCTTTTTTTAACAAGGCTTTTTTTTTTTCCCCACACAAACCTGTTTCTTGGATTAATTTTATGTCTAGTCATGTATTGTATATAAATCAAGAACCTTGTTAGATTTCCATTATTTTGCCTGTGACATCAAGGAAAATAGACTGCAGGTGTCTGGTCACCACTCTGTGCCCAGCTCAAACACTGGCATGCTTCCAGACTCTTACAATTTCCCAAGATTAAAATTATCACCTTGAAGCCAGACATTTTTCTGGGCAGGTTTTAAAGGACTCTTGGGTGTAGGCACCCAGGGTTAGTGATAGAAACCATTTCAGACAGTCAGATGTAACTTCTCACTACTCAGACTGTAAGGTAACAAGCAGCTGTGCGCTCTGCTGGATGTTGCACTGGTCTCTCATCCTGCTTCTTACTGGATCAGATATTCTTGGAACACTATTATTTTTATAATCCTGTTAATGTTTCTAAAACCATCTACGGGAGGGTTAATACAATTACTAGGAACTGTTCTTTAAGAAGTAATCAGTTCTTACAAGCAAAAAACAAAAATCCTTTTGCTGCTGTAGCTTATACCAGTTCATCTAGCAGAATAATGTAAAAGAATATATCTGTTCCATTTTTGGTTCAAGTTACAGCAATGCGCAGTTTATCAACCAAAGACACCTGTTGTTTACATGGGAGGACATTCTGGTCTGGCAGATTAGCAAAGCTGCAGTGCCCCACAGAAGCAAAGCTAGTTCATTTAGCAGACCACATTCATATCAATAAGATCTGCTAGAGGCTTTCAGCCATCCTTGCACAATGTCCTACAGTGCTTCTTTCAGTGCCCACAAAACATCTGTCATTATCTGCTGGATGCCTGATAGAATCTCAGCCCTCCCTTACATCAGATGATGGAGATGTGCCCATATTTGTTTGGTAATTAACTCCTCCTCTCCTCTCCACTCCTCTCCTCTCCTCTCCTCTCTTCTCCTCTCCTCTCCTCTCCTCACATCATGTTGTGAAGACAAATGTGGACACACCTCTATTTGTAGTTTTTGTCTGAATTTCATCTTAGGACAAATTACAAATATTTTTATCCTGTATTATATTTAGGAGAACCTTTCGTACAGCATGTCCAGCAGTTTTTGTCAGCTCTAGTAAAATGTCAGTCATATGCTTTGAATTCTAAAAAGAACACTTGTAGCTCCAGCAACTGGCAATGGCAAGAACCAATGAGCTTGAGTGAGGGTGGGGAATTGCAGGCTGGTCAGCCTCACCTCAGTCTCTGCCAAGGTGAACTAGTCCTGGAAGTCATTTCCCAACATATGGAGGACTGAAAGTTGATTGAGAGTGTCATCAGAGGTTTACAGTGGGGAATTTATGCCTGATCAATCTGAATGTCTTCCACAGTGAAATGACTGACCTGCTTAGTGAGGAATTAACAGAGGATGTCATTCACTTTGACTGTAGCAAGGCTTGCAGTAATGTTTCGTGTAGCATCCTCATAGAAAATTAATGAAGTATGAGCTTTGTACAGAGCCAAAAACAGGGACAGAAAACTGGCAGAATTGGTGTGTTCTAGGTGTTGTGGTCAGGACCACAAAGTCCAGCTGGTGACTGATCACTGGTGATATTCCCATGGGGCTTCTTTCATGGCTTGGACTAAAGTGGGAGGAGCAGGTGATGCATAGAATGATAGAATCATAGAATCCTTAGAGTTGGAAGGGACACTTAAGAGTCATTTAGTCTAATTCCCCTGCAATGAGCAGGAATATGCACTGCTAGATCAGGTTGCCCAGGTTTGATCCAGTCTCACCCTGTAAGTCTCCAGGGGTGGGGCATCATTCACATCTCTGGGCAAAGTGTTCCAGTGCCTCACCACCCTCACTGTAAAAGATTTGCCAGTCCCAACATCATCCTTTTTACCTTTCTTGAAAGTGCGTGTGATGTTGCTTTTTTTTCCAGTCATCAGGGACTTCACCTGATTGCCACAACTTTTCAAATGTCATTGAGAGTGTCTCGGTGACCACATCAGCTAATTCCCTTGGGACTCTGGGATGAGTTGTGGTGCATTCAGAGGGTCCTCAACAGACTGGAGAAATGGCAGTATCATGAAGTTCAACAAAGGGAAACTGGAAGTTCTGCACTTGGTAAGGAAGAATCCCATAATAAAGACAAGCAAATAGCAGCTTGGCAGAGAAGAACCTGGAAGTTCTGGTGCACGAGATGAACACGAGCCAGCAGAGTCCCCAGAGACAGCCTTAGTCACATCCTCTTCAGTTTAGAACCTGCAGTATTTCTGTTATGGAGAAGTCCTTATCCCCTCCAGCACTTGTAATGTTGGAGGCTCTGGGGAGAGAAGGAACACCTGGAATTACACATTTTTACAGGGGGGGGAAAAAAAAAGCAACCACCAAATCAGGTACTGATTATGATGGCTGCAAATCTTCCTGCTGAGACATCAGCATCCCTGGAACATGACCCATGTTGTGTCTCTGTTCATATCTTGGGCACAAACAGTCCAAGGAACTCTCAAGCTGACCTTTTGACTGTAGCTCTGTGCGGAAGCCAAGAAGAACCTTTTCTTCTTTCTTCTCTCAGCTCATGGTGCACTGTAATGCTGAGGGAAAGGTACTGCTGTCCAGGGCAGTGCTTTCAAGCAGCTGATCAGCTGATCCCAAATGAGATTGAGGCTTGACAGAGGCTGGAGCCATCCTGACATTTGTTCCTCCAGATGAGGAGGCTGGGGCTTGAGAAAGGTGGGAGGCAAAAGACAACATTATTTGCTTTCTAATGCAACACGTGTGAACTTGCTAACGTTTTGCCTCTGACAGAATGGGCTGCCCTTATCCCGAGAACACCACCAGCAGTGTGCTCCTGGCATTTCTCTGTGTATGAATCTACTTACTGAACTGAACGATGGAAGCACCTCACAATGGGAAATACTCTGCTGCTTCTCCATGTAGAAGCAGTCAGGATGAGTACAGGTATGGTTAGGAAGAACCAAACAGAGCCAATATGAAGCCATGACCGCAACGCTGCTCTGCTCTGGCTTCCTTGTTCTGCTCAGCGGTGCCACCAGCTGGCAGGAGCGGACAGAGCCACGGTGATCAGAAACAAAACATACCCAAGCAGAAGAGTGGTGACCGACAGCCTGACAAAGCTGCAGCAGCGGGGCTGCTAGAAGGAGGCAGGCAGCAGTTTGAGTGCTGAAAGGGAGGACAGTGTGCACTGCCACAGGTCTTGTAGTGTATGGTAAATCGTGATGGACAGCAGACCAGCACAGACTCCAGGCCAAGGAATGCAACAGTTCTCTTGATTCCACCCCAGCAATGATGATGGCCACACACGTGCATGCTGAGCATGATCTGTGAGAAAGTGCTGGAGGATCATGGACTGTTCAGTCTGAGGAGTGAAAGCCACTGCCATGAAACAGTTAAAATGTCCATTGGGTAAAGAAATCACAGCAAAAAACAAACTCTCATCTGCACTGTGAATGGGAAAGCAAGGGGACTCACAAGCCGGGTGATGTGGCCAGGTAGGCTAATGCTGAAATTAGTTGCTGAGAAAAGGTTTGGATAGCTCATTGCTGAGATCTGTTGCTGGACACATGCCTAGGAAAAAGCCTGTATGTATTGACAGTCCTGGGGCTTCCTGAGGTCCTCAGCCACTTCCAATCCTTTCTTGCGTTTACTTTGTGGAGAACCAGATGTAGCTGTAAAGGACCATTTCTGTAGCTAAAAGTAATTGCCCCTTCACCCTCTCTCTTTCCTAAGGCTTAGGAGTAGAAACGCAAGCCTTATCCTGCAGGGGGCCCATTCTGCACTGAGTAACAACCGTTCAGAGGAAACGTGACGTGCAAGGACAGCACGCAGCTCACCAGCAGTTCATCTCCAGATTCCACACCGAGGGCTTGGCACGAGCCCATCCAAAGCCATGGCTGTGGCAGAGCGCAAGCCAGGAGCCACAAGCTGTCCTGCTACCAGTGTTTTCCAGCCTCATCCTGCCACCTGTTATCCACCGTGTCCTGCATGTATCCAGCACACGGGACTTTTTTTCCTTTTGCTTCCCTCAAATCTCCAACAGTTTTGGTACAGGCTCAGTAGGTGACAGTATACACATCTTTTGACCTTTCTTTTTCAGGTAACCTCAAGCCTGAGGAACACCTACTACAGTACGACAGGAAGCAGAGATGGTTCTGCTGGAGGTATAGTCTCTTATACCTTGCATATAATGCCTCAGTCTTTCCATGAGAAACTACTGTAGGAACCAGCAGCTCATGGCAAGGCCAAGTGAGAGAAAAATGGGGATGCAGGAGGAGCATTTGGCACACAGTTTCTAACTCCCAACATAGAACTTAGGATGTCCCGAGGACATTCCTCCCTAACCAGTCTTCCTTGTTCTAAGGAGGGAAGCTGAGACAGAGAAATAGGATGGCTGGACAGAGACCCTGCTCTCTTGAGCAATGAAAACATGGAGACAGATGCATCTCTGGAGCTCAAGATTCACCTGTAAGCTTTAGTGCTATGCAGCCAACACTGGTCCACCTAGAGGTACATGTATGGTCCAGTGCCTCTGAGGAGAAACTGTTGCTTCAGAGCAAATGAGGTACCAGAAGAAAAGAGAAAGGTGTTTTGAGGTCTGATAGTTGCAGCTCTGCCTTTACACTTATCCTCTATGGAAGTAAGGACTGTTACTGCAGCCATACACAGAAAGTGACTGATGTTTAAACTGTGGAAAAGGCTGAGAACCTGTCCTTGGGTGTCAGAGCAGTCACTGGTGAAGGGTGAGGGAACAAAACCAAAAAACTAATTCACTACTTCCTTTGAATCAGTCATGTCTGCATAAATGCCAGACTGCTAAAAGGACAAATGCAAGTCTGCTCACTGTCAAACTGCCTTTGGTTTACTTGTTATGGAAGGACTAGCAAAAAAAGGAAGCCGTCAGCCAAGTCGACATTTTATTTAGAGATACCCACAGTAAAATGCACAAATACATCTTGTTCACCGATTTTCAGGTCACACAACTTCAAGTATCGGAAAAACAAACTGCAGTTAATTACAGTTATCCGTAGAATGGAGCAGTAGTAGAAGATTCATCTGTCAGACTACATCATGGGTAATGACGCTCAGGTATTTAAAAAGTGCATGGGTCGTTGCCACATACACTGACTCGGTTTTTCAAAGAGCAATGTCTTTCTGGCATGTGAGCACAGTAACACGGTTAATATAGGATGGAAAATGAAGCTCTTGATTTGATCTGGAAATGCATTCCCCAAAAGCAAATTAAGAGCTGAGACTGAGGCATGGGAAGTAAGCTGTAAAAATCACAGTTACATACTCCATGTGGTTAAGCAACATAGAGGTGGCCTAAAATGATTGTTATTCTTCTTATTCAGAAGACTCCTGAGCACTTGATTGTATTCAGCAAGCTGGCAGAAGAGCTATAATCAGAGATCCAAACTCTTGCATTCACACTGAGTTCTTTCACAACTGGAAACCTCAGTCCTCACATTTCCAAAATCCTGTGTTCCACTTGCAAGCACATCAACTGGATCACAGATTGCTGTGTCTACTTTTGTATTCCCATACAGAGGAGAAAGTAGGAGGGGGTGCTGATTTGGGAGGAGCGGCATCGGTTTAAAGCTGTATTTAAGTCAGATGGAACCTGGTCTCTTTTCTCCAGTGTCTCTCCATAGCAAGGAAGTTCAGCAGCTTGCACTGCTCCATGCTCCCTTTTGCTACCCAAAATTTATGCTGATGAACAGAACCCCCTGATAGCACTGCAACTTTCTGTGGATTATAAGACAAATCTCCTGTTGAAGCAATAAAAAACACCTCAATTACTCTGTTCTGATATTTTAGACTCCCAAACTGCTTCTTCACCTGTTCTGTCCAGAGATAGCATTCCATTTGTGTGTATGCAGCTGCTTCTCCTCCATAAAAATGGCTCCGGAGATCCTTGTTTCTGTGCACCTTGGAAGGAGACAAATAACACTGATACCTCATTGGGATGGGCCCCTGTACCATGTTCAGGAGAGAGCCGAGAAGTCAGTAAGATTTTGCACTTTTGCAGTGAACCCCAAAATGAGAAGAATAATTGAAATAACCAGCAAGTCCTTCACAGCTGGCACTGAATGAATTTGGAGCAAAGCCCTTCAGGCTGAGAGGAGGATACCAGCCGGGGGGAACATCAGGGCTGGGTTACAGCAACATGCCCTGACTCAGCACACTGTTGTCCAAGCACAGACTCAAACTGCAGTAAGGCTTGGAGAGGCAGCCCCAAGCCTTGCAGGTCTGCTACCTGAGGATGCCATGAGACAGCAAAGAACTTGCTGGAGGCCAGAGGAGCAGCAACAAGGGAGCAGGGCTGAGACTGAGTACGGAGACAAAGTATTCTGAATAGGATGACGGCCCGTCAGAAGGTTCTCATCCTGGCCTTCTAGCACTATTCCTCACTGTAAGAGAAGGCCCAGCTGGTTTGGTACAGCCCTGCACACACAGCTGGTGCTGAATCAGCAACAGCCATGTGGATGGCTTCTGCTTAGCCCTTCTGCTCCATCCCAGCTGGAAGCACATGGAGGGGGCTGGTAGCAAAGCACAGTGCTCTAAATCATCATGAAAACGAAGAGACAAGCACACTGCATCAGTGGGGAGAGAGATAAGTGAGTGGCTGATCAGAGGTTCTTTCCCATCTCATCTTCACACCTCATCTGCGGATAAGAGCAGTAGCTTTGCAAGTTCTGGGAGCATCTCTATAGTGACATAAGCATAAAGAATGATGGACTAAAACCTCACAGCTTCCACTGCTCAAACACTGGCTCCTCTGAGTGCAGCAGCCTTGGGTATTACTGCTGGCCAAAGCTAATCTGCCTTTTAAGCACAGGGTTAGAGTTAACTCATCTTACAGCATGATTTTTTTCATAATCCATTAAATGCACGCATGCAGAGAAAGGTTCTAGATGGGATTAAAAATCATCACAAAGTCAGTGAAGCGTCCTCCTGTCTTTCTGCTCAGAGGATCTTTAGCTGTGATGCCAACCGAAAAACCACAGATCAGTTTAAACAAGCGTTGCGCCAATGCTGGGCATCTCCATTTACTTCATGATTTGCTGACATCCACTGTAAAGTACAGGTGTGAGAATTTCAGTCTCTGTAGACTTTGCAAGAGTGGAGCCTGCATATCTGAGTTGGCTAGACAGTAACTGAAGTTTGTGGTAAAAGAACAGAGAGATCTTTGTACAGCGGGCCACAGGTTCCTCTCACCCTGAACTGATATTTTCCAGGCCAGGCAAGCAGCTTTGAAAACTGTTAGTTTGAATTAGGAAGAAATGTGAGAAGATGTCACTGAAGTTCACTAAATAAGCTGAAACCAAACTGTTCTACTGGAAATTGTGATAAAAACGAGGCTTTAATTTCAAAGAAACTCTAGAGTGAATAAACCTAAAGAACTCCAGGTTAAATTCACACGGGGGCACAACCAGCTACAACGGGAAATGCACAAACCTTAGAGCTCTGTGATGATGTGTTAAGATAAACAGGATGACAGCTAGTCACGCTGCTTCTAAATACAAAGGTAGTCTCATGGATCAACAGAATTCAGTATTTCAGTTAGTTATGGATATAAGGGCTCATTTAAGGTGACAGGAAGCAAAGAAGTGCTCCAGTTTCCATGCTTTTAGGATTAGATCAACTGGGAGTAGACATCTTGTATCAATCACACTCTATCTGCATAAAAGACAGAAACCTAGCTCGAACTCCAGGTGTCATTTTACAAATAAAGATATAATTTGCCAATTTAGAAAATTAAGCCAGATGCATTACACCTTTGTCTTGGAAAACAAAAAATCTTACTTCAAGGAGGAAGAAATGTACAAGGAAACTCTGAACACTGAGGTCGATGAGCAGACAAGCTAGTAGTTCTTGCCTACTCTCAGCAGTTTCCCACTGCAAACTGCATCAATAACTTCAAACAGCTTCACAGTGCAGGTAAAAACACGCAGTGTAACATTTGAAGAGAGCTGCTACTGCTGCCTTTGACAGCTTCTGTGATCGTTCAGCAGTGCTGTTGGACGCAGCTCATGACAGAAACAAAAAGCTGAGAAAAGCTCTGCTGACAGAACTGCAGTTGTTAACGTCAGAAACTAGATACAGAACAAAAGCCAACAAGTGCCAGCATGTCCTGATCTCCACCCCACCCTCCGAGCTTTGGAGCTTTAAGAAAACAAACAAACAAACATTGATAATAGCTCACTGTAGGACATTCTACCTTCAGGCAACAAGTTGTGATCAGCACAGATTTTAAAACACCTCCCGCGGTTTGTGCATCATAAGCATCACCTCACAGGTGATGGGAAGACCCAGCATCTGTGCACACGTTAACAAGCAAGCACTGACAGAAGTCACGGGTAAGATTTATTCCAAGACAAACCAGGGCATTGATTTGTGCCGACACCAGGCCCTAAAACAGATGAAACAAGTCACAGAAAGTTAGGAGTACAAACCTGTTGCAACTTCAACACATCCATGTTAGAAAAAGACATTGCATGCACCCAGCCCTAAGACAGCAATGAGTTTGTGAGATAGATCAAGGTACCAGAAGAGAAAGGCACGTGAACCTCTGGCTGGTCCATTTCAATATTATGTGGATGAGTCATAGTGATTTATACACCCTGAGTCTGTGGGAGGCCTTGAAAAGTACAAGTTTAATGAGATTAAAATTCAGCACCTGAAATTTCCCTGTTAACCAGGGAATCTAAAAAAGCAGATCCTAAAAATACCAAGAGTTGATTCCTAGATTTTTGTTCTGAGATCAAAGAACCAACATCCAGAACTAGAGACATCCCACTGGATGCTGCAAGTGTTTTTATACATCTCTCTTCTGGTTCTACAGAATTTGTGTGTAGTCAAGTGTTTGATTTATTGGTTTCTTTTCCAGGCCAGAAGTGGTCAGGCAGCCTGCACTTTCCATTCCTCCAGTGCTGGAACCCTGTGTTGGGTCTGTGTGCACTCTTAGACTTTCTCACTCCCCACAGGACAGTGGAGGCTACTAGAAGATGGCATTTAATTTTTAATTGTAAAGATTCTTTTCTGTCAAGGTTTTTTTTTTTTTTTTTTTTAAATTACAAGAAACCACATGATTTTGATAAACACAGCGTAAGTAAAAAGATAATTTAATTTACGTCCTTCAAAATTAACATGGGGAAAAAAAAGAATGGAAGTGACATCTACCTGACCTCTTTGAAAACGTTTCCGATTAAGCCCTTTCACAGGCACCTCCTGAGCAATGAATAAGCATCACCTCCGTGTTGTTAAACTCAAGTGTTCTGAGAGAAATACCAAATGCTTATTTGGGCTTTTTCTTTTCTTGTGCCCTTCCTTGCCCCTCCGCACCACAATGAAGTGCAGAAGCAAGGGAAAGCACACACGAGATCCCTTCAGAAAAGATGTGGCTGCATTTCTGCTTTCCTTGTATGCAGCATGGACAAATCCCCGGTGTACGTGCTTTAGAGCCTTGAGAGAAGCTGTGCAGGCATTGCAACACTCAGAAACTTATTTTAAGTGGAGGCCACGTCATGGGTTGCATCTGTGGGGTGACCAGCTGTGCACAGTGGGCAGTTTTCACTTGACTTCAAGCCAGAAAGGGTGCATATGGCTTGTGCAGCAGGAGCTATCAGAAGGCGAGCTCTGCCTGCACCACACAGCATTCCTGGGAATGAGCTGTACCCAAGGTGAGTGACTGAGTTATAGCAGCACTTGCAACAAAGCAATTAAGAACCTCTCAGACACCCTGGAAAAGTTGGTTTATGGAAAATAAAGGTATCAGACCTCTACAAACAGATCTCAGAGCTCCAGCCTAGCCTGCTGTAAGATGCTGCTGCATTGCTGAGATGCAGGGAATGGTGGCCAATCTGTTCGTGGTTTCCTGAAATCAAACAAAGACAGGCAAGCTCCACAAACAGTCTAGATAAGCCTGCTTTATTTCACATTTGCACCAGGTGAGGGAAACCCGTTCATCACAAGGTCAGTCCCTCTCAGCTGATGGGCAAAAAGACAGACACCAAACCACGACTTAATATAGATGGAACACAACTTTAATTTTGTAACTCTGCAGCTGCAAGCTATATACAAAGCAAGTGCTCGAGTGAAGAAAGAGGTTGAAATTCTACAGAAGAGTAACTGATACACAATTATCTTAATCCTTAAAATACAAAAATGCTGCCAAAGACCTCAAACAGAGGCAGCACAAATATCCCCATAATGAAATTCAGAAGTCTCCCTCATTAAGGGAGTCACAAGAATCACTCACAATACAAATGTAACCTTTGTGGATAGACTAGATCTGGTCAGGTCTCTGGGCACTCTTTCAAAGTATTTTAAAATGGATCTATGTGGAAAATGAACAATTGAGACTATGAACAAACATCTATTTACTATTCTTTGGTAATTTACTCACCTTGGACTAACACCAGTAGCACTGATGAAGGGACAAAACAATGGGCTCAATGCTTTACAACAGTCCCAGAAAACACCTTGAGAGAACAGTAGCACTTCTCCTTGGCTGAGCTGACAGTACAACAGGGAAGGCTGGAGGAATGACCAGTTACAAGGTGTCTGTGAAGAGAGTGGGCATCACCCACAATGCTACGCTCAAGCTAACATTGTGTTGTAGCTTCAGCTTCCATGGGAATGTCTGTTACTTAACACTTGATTGTTGTTTAGGGCTTGTTTCCC